GCATTTGGAGATAGAAACGTCCCACTACGCTCTGTGCCTGAGGGCTCACAAGCCCTCAGACTCAACACGTCCAAAATCAAATCCTTGGACAAGTCCACACGGGTCAAGTACAGAAACACACCAAGTCGAGAGAAAAGCAGAAGCAAGATGTGGATCAATTTGTGCAGCCTGATGCCACCCAGGTGGGGTGCCCCAGCCCACCAACGACTCCTGGTCTTAGCGCTGAGGTCCCACATCCTGGAAGCCCCTTGGTCCTGGGCATCCTGACACGGTTGGTCACTCTGTATTTGTGTAAATTTGGGACCATAGGAGTAACAGACACACAGATACGTGGTTACAGTGAGACACCCAGGCCCTGGGAGGACCAGCGATGCGGGGGTGGGGGAGGCAGGTGTGGCGCCTGCCGCAGCAGCGGGTCTGTTCCTGCAGCAAAGAGAAGCCTGAGGCACACGTGATGGAGGCGTAAGAGCCGCTGTGCTGGGCGGAGGGTACAGGATGCTGGGGGTTCGGGCTCTGTGGTTGCTGGGGACTGAAGGGAGGGGCAGAGGAGGCAGACAAAATTATCGGATTTTAAATAAGAAGACACAGATCTCTTATATACCTGGGCAAAAATAAGATCAGGTTGCCATCAGACTGGGACAGACGCATTTTATTCCAGGAGACAGTGGATATGCTAATGTTAGTATGTAAGGTACTCAAGGGAAGAAAGGTTTTATTTTCAGCTGAGCAGACTTTCAAGTCTAAGTGCCACAGACAGACTGTCCACAGCGTGAGACAGGGTCCGCTCCCTGCCTGCCCTGGAGAGAAGCCCTCCGGATGGTGGTGCCGGAAACATGGGGACCCTGAGCTTCATGCCGCACCTCGCACCTCGTACAAAACCAACCAAAGGAAACCGGGAACCCACAGGTAAAATGCAGACTTAACAAAACTTTTAGAAGAAAATCTCTGTGGCTTTGGGTTAGGGAGAAAAATTCCTAGTGTGATACCAAGCTCATGCCCCATAAAGAAAAAGCTGAAAGACAGGACTGAGTCAAAGTGAAAACCTGTTGCTTTTCAGAAGACACTGTTAACAGAATGAAAAGACAAGTCACAGACCAGCGAAAACGTCTGCGAATCTGACAGAAGACTTGCATCGGAGTGGATGAAAAGCTCTCTGAACTTGGAGAATACCCCAGTGTAAGCAACGGCAAAGATGACTGGGACCAGGAAGTTGCGGTTCGCACACACAGCGGAGCGCTACTCAGGGAAGAACGGAAGAGCGCCGTCTGCAGCAACACGGACGGCCCTGGTGGCCGGGGCTCTGAGTGAAGTCAGCCAGAAAGAGAAAGAAGAGCACCGTACGAGGTTACTCGTGTGTGGAATCTAAAAACAGACACAAATGAACTTATTTACAAAACAGAAACAGACTCAGAGACATAGAAAACAAACGCGTGGTTACTGGCGGGGGGAAAGGGGGAGGGGAGGGAAGGGATAAACTCGGAGTTTGAGATCTGCAGATACTGACTACTATATGTAAAACAGACCAACAAGGACCTACTGTGTAGCACAGGGAACTATATTCAATATGTTGTAGTAACTTATAATGAAAAAGAATACGAAAAGGAAGACACGTATGTGTGTGTGCGACTGAAACACTATGCTGAACACCAGAAATTGACACAATGTTGTAAACTGACTATACTTCAATAAAAAATTTTTTTTCATGGTCAAGCAGGGACAGAAAAAGGGGCAAAATCTCTGAAGATGCATTTCACCAAAAAGATATCTGGATGGCACACCAGCACATGACAAGGTGCTCGACACCATTAGCCAATTAAGTCGCAATGAGATGCTGTCATTCACCTTTCAGAACGCCTCTCCATCCCCTCAGAACCCTGACAGCACTAAACGCTGGGGAGCAGGTGCAGCGGCTGCAACACCCATGTGTTACGGGCAAGAATGTGAAATTGAAAACCAATTTACTGTGTCACCCGGCAGTCCCATTCCTAGGTAATGGGAGACCTAAACCCAGGCTCACACAAGCCCTGCACGCAAGTGGTGAGAGCAGCTTCGCTCACAATCTGCCAAGATCTGGCGCCGACCTGAGTGTCCTCCCGCAGTGGGGCTGCAGGGGCACATCTGCGCCGGATGGGGGCCGGGTGCTCGGAGGGTCACCAGGGATGGGGTGGGCTCCACAGCTGGAGGCCCACAGACCAGGCAGGAGGGGCCTGGCAACCAGGCAGGGGTGTGGAGGTGACTCAGGGCTGTCTTCCAGATGAAGCCAACAGGAGTGACTGCCCACTCAGCTGCGGGGAGAAAGGTAAGGAGTCAGGGTGGGGCCAAGGTTCTGGCCAGAGTGACAGGGGGCTGGAGGCCACGTGACGGAGCAGGACCCTCTGGGGCCTTCCTGGGACAGGACCCCCTCCCCAGTGTCCTCCACCTGCCTTTTTTCTGTAGAAAAGCTTTAGCCAAAGGATAAATTTAATCAGAGAAATGAAAAAATGCAGAAGCCAAGAAAAGCCATCAAACAGGCCAAACTGACAACCATTTAGCCATTTAACAAAGTCCTGGACCCCGAGTTCCTCCTCCAAGGCTGCAGATAATATTCTGAGCCTCGTCCTTTGAGCTGTTTTGCAGACACTGAAACCCCTACCAGGAGGAAGACATTAACTACACGAGGACCCGACTGGAGCCGTGACAGAAGCTGCCACAATTTGAGAACTGCCCTCGAGGAAATGGGAACGACCAACCCTGGAGCTGAGACTAGCTGCACGTGAAACCACCAAGTGACGCTGATCAGACCCCCACGACCAATTTCAGGATGACGACTGGAGCCGACTGTGCTGTTATGCACGCAGCCCCCTCCCTGCCTGTGCCCCCTGAAACGCCCCATAAAAGCTCTTGCGCCCTGATCGGCAGTGGGGAGCTGCCTTCTGGACACCAGTCCACCTTCTCCCCAGGTTGCTGGCCTCTGGAATAAAGCAGCCTTTCTTTTCCTACCAACATTCTCTCTCAAGCATTGGCTTTTTGAGTGGCGAGCAGCCAGACCCAAGTTCGGTAAGTCACGGGGTCAGATTTGGAGTGGGTCCGGCTCCGGGCACATCAGACTGGAGACGCTCCTGGGTCCAGTGGAGCGGGAGGGCAGTCGCTCTCCGGGCACTGGGCCGGGCCGTGCGGCCACCGGCTGCAGTGTTGTCACCGGGTGTCCTCTGGGCTGCGTTCCCCTGCTTTATTTTGGCTCCTGGCTTAGTTTTTGCCTATTTCACTTCACAGGGAAGTAGTTCTTTAAAAAAACTAAACACACACCCAAGTCTACAGCAGGCCCGAGCCCGCCTGGGACAGCGAGGCCACCTCAGTGACTAAACAGACACGCACCTTCTTCCCGTGCGGCGTGTGCTCCCGAGGCCCCGGGAGTTCACAGCCCATCGGTGGGTCGCGGGAGCCGGGCGAGGGGCGGGGCAGCAGGGCAGAGTCTGGGGCCTGGATTCGCCGCACGGGCACTAACTCTGCACTTTGCTCCCTAAAATCCCCACTCATGAACTCAGTGTTGCTTCCTCACGGGCGCGCCAGACCCCGGGTGGAGGAGGACGTGGCCTGTGTGATGAGGGGCGGCACTCCAGGCCCCCGGCCAGCCCGGCTCCACCCAGGGCTGCCCGGGCCCCAGCCAGGACCAGACAGCGACTGGGGCTGGGCTGTGGGTGGAGCCTGCACAGGAGAGGAAGGAGGGGGGGCAGACGCCAGGTGGGCTCCAGAACATGATACCCCCAGGCAGCAACAGGGGCCAGCCCTTGTCCCCGACCTCCACCTCCCCATCCTGCCCGTTTCTCCCCTCCACCTGCTCCTCGTCCCAGTTCTCAGGCTGGACACGGAGACCCCGGGAGGTTCCCACACTGGTCCGGTCACAGGCTGTGCTGGGGCAGGTGGGGCTCCTGGTCCTCCGAGCGCGGAGAGACACTCTGCACACTTATACAGCCCCCAAGCATGCTGCACACATGCTGCACGCACTCACCCCATAGCACTGCACCTGCGTGCGCGCGTACACACACACACGGTGCGAGGCGCCTGGACCTCGGGCCTGTCCTGGGCCTGAGGTTCCCGAGCCAGTGACGCCGCCCTGCCCGTGGGCTCACCGGTTAATCTCTGACTTGCAGACAAGCTCAAAGTTGTACTCCTTGGCCTTGGTGGGCTGAAAGATCACGTCGAGTTGCAGAGCTTCCAGTGGCAAGACCGTCCCAAACCCATCATTGGGCTGGATGTCCACAAACTGGCAAACGGAACACCATCAATGCCAAAGCACAACGCCTGGGCCTGCTGGGTCACCGCGGCAGATGGCAAGGACGCCCGTGTGGCTGGGTGTGGCTGAGTGGGACGGGTGTGGCTGCATGTCTGTCAGTGTGTTGCGGGAGTGTGACCACGTGTGCAGGTGGGTGTGCATGGGCGTGTCTGTGTGTCTCTGTGTGTATGTTTCTCTGTGTATGTGTGTCTGTGAGTGTGTGTCTCTGTGTGTGTTTCTTTGTGTACGTGAGTGGAGGTGAGGGGCAGCCAGGCCTAGGCCTCATCCTGGCTACCCTGCAGGGCCAAGCAGGCAAGAGTTCTGGAAGGAAGGGAGGGGAGAGGTGTCTGGAGTCCTGGGGGCAGTGGGAGGAGAAGGGGGACAATCAGAGGGGGACTGCAGGCCAAGGTGCCGGAAGAGGAGCCGAGGCAGGGGGTGAGGCCACGTGGTGCCGGGCGCCTGGACCCTGGGCGGCAGCCTGCATCCCCAGAACCTCCCGACTCTGACCACACAAGCACCTTGGGGAGCCCGACGAAGCCAAACTCCTGGGGCAGGAGGGAGTGGTTGCAGAGGCTGACTTGGGTTCTGACGGCCTCGTAGATGCTGCAATAGCCAAAGTCCACCCCCGAGGGGCTGAGCTCCAGGTCCGAGGTGGTGACGATGGCGTGGAGGGTAAACTCCACTGGTTTGATCTGAAGGGCAGAGGGCACGCACGTTCTGGCCACTTGCAGTCAGTTTACCCAAATGTTTCCCAAAAGAAGGCAGGCACCCCCCTGCGGTGACCCGGTGGCTGGTGGGGAAACCCTCCTGGACACGAGTCCCACTTCCCTGTAGTTCCCAGGTGGGCGGGGGACCTGTGTGCACACAGGTGGGCACCCTGGCCTGCGAGCGCGAGGACAGAGGGTGCATGCGTCTGTGCGCATGTCTGAGTGCTGTGCGTGCACACGTGGGCACGGGTGGGTGCAGGTGCTCCGGGGACAGCCCTGCCAGCCCGGGCAGTACACAAGCACCTCTCTGGTCCACAGACACCCTCGTCTCCCCTGTGCATAGTGGGGATGGGCTCTGGGGACCAGGGCCCTGCCTTCCTGGGGCCTGAGCAGCCCCTGGTCCCCAGAGTGCCCAGCATTCCTGGACGTGCCCCACACAGACCTGGTCAGCCACCCGTATAGTCATCGGGGCCTCCAGAACCCTGGTTTCCTTGTCGAAATACTTCCCTGCGTCCTCTGGGAGGGACTGTCTGAAAGAGACCGGAAGCACCTGAACCTTCTTTCCTTCTGTGTTTGCAGAACGACAGAAAGCTGAACTACGCGTGTGCTTTCAAATCACGCAAGAGCTACAAGTCACACGAACTGCAAGGAACACAGGGCTATGCCGCTGCCGGCTGGCCAGCACCCCGTTCCCGCGGGGGCGGGGGACAGAACCCGCCCCGGCCCGCCGCCACCGGCTGGCGCACCTAGGCAGGAACTTGAGCTGCACGGAGTAGGACGACAGGGCCTGGATGTAGCCGGTCTCGGGCAGCAGCTCCACGTGGCCCCTCAGCTCCTTGCACACCTCGAACTTCAGGCGCAGGGCGGCTTTCGACCTGCAGAGCCCAAGGGACCGCAACACCAGGCATTTAGTCCCCGTGGGGGTGCCTGCCCCCGCCACCCAGGGCTCTGCGCACACCCACTCAGAGGGCCATCAGAGCCCGCGCGCTGAGGGCAGGTTTCCTGGCGTGAAGCCTGGAGAGGGGCTCTGACGTGTAGGAGCACCATGAGTGACAGTGCCCAGGTTGGCTCCCAGGAGGCTGAGGGTTTTCTGGCGTCGGGGAAGACCCTGGCCAGGCAAGTGCAGGGTGCGGGGCCTGGAGGGTAGGCCCTGGCTCCCCCAGAGTCCTGCCCTCTCCTGCTGGGCCCCACTCACTGGCAGGAGCCCTGTAGGATGCCAGAGAGGACCCGAACGGCCCGTCCTTGGTCAGTGGCCGCAGCTTCTCAATTTTCGTCTCTGTTCTCAACTCAGGACCAGCCAGAGAAAGCCAGGTGTGCCCGTAACCAATTGCGCGGGGGCCCCTGTCCTAACGAGCCCCCAGGCCACAGCCCCCACCAGGGCGCTCCCCCTCCCCGCCTGCCCTGGAGTCTCCAGGAAGAAAGGCGAAGGTCTGCGAGGGAGCCCCCAGGGAGCGTTGGGCTGAGTCCTGGCTGCCTCGGGCTGGAGGGGCGCCACCCTGAGGGCAGAACCCTCTGCAAGGAGGACCCACCGAGTAAGGACCCCTGGGCCATCACCGCTCCCAGGCAGCTGGGGCCGAGGAGCAAAAGGGGCACAAAGGAGGGTCTCTCTCCTCTCTCAACTCTGACCTCTGGCCCCCAGTGTCCCCCTGCACTCTCCCCAGTGACTTCTGATTCCCCAGTGTCCCAACTCTGCCCTTGCTTCCGGTGCCCGCTGGGCACCTCCTGGGGCGCCTACAACCAGGTCTTTGTGATTTAACCCCTTTGCTACACCTGTGTCCACAAAACCAGCAAATTAAATAAGTGAGTAATGCTGAATTCTAAAATCACTCAGTATATTTAGACGTCAAGCCTGTGCCCTGGGGAGGGTGGAGAGAGGACACCCTCGACTCCCCCTCCCCCCTCCCCAGGAGTGGACACATGTTGCATCCTGAGGTAAACTGCCCAGAGCACCCTCAACCCTGTTTCCCACACAAACGCCCCGAGCCTGCCCCATGCTCCTGGCTCCCCAGCGAGAACGGCGTCCCCGAGTCTGCAGTGGGATGCCACCCGCCGAGTGGGCCCTAGCAGCCAGGTGGGGGCCGGGGGCTGGAAGCGGGCCCGGGGGGCCGCAGCCTGCGGGGCCCACGGGTGTGCCTGGCTCAGGAACATCTGCTGAAGCTCTAACCGTCGGATTTGCCTATGTTTCTCCATCTAATTGCACTTCAGCGAAAAAAAGAGTGAAAAAGAAATGACTACTGTGTCTGGATGCCCTTGCGAAACAGCGACTAGAGACACGCTTCTCTCCTCGGGCCTCGGTCCACGTGTCCTTCAGAGCGCTGCGTCCCCGGGCGCGGCAGGGACAGCGCGTCGCAGACACCCAAGCCACAGCGCTGCCTTACTCTCCCCCGGGTCTCGGAGGCTGGAGCCCGGCTGTAGGCAGGGCTGGTTCCTGCGGGAGGCTCCACGCAGAATCTGCCTCCCGGTCTCTTGGGCTTCTCCAGGCTCCTGGTCCCTCTTTCACCTTCCAAGCCAGAGGCCCAGCATCTGCCAATCTCTGTCTGACTCCAGCCCTCCCGCCTCCCTCCTGTAATGGCCCCATGATTCCAGTGGGGTGCAGGGTACCCGGGGTGACCCCCATCTCGAGGTCTCGAACCCCATCACAGCTGCGGGGGCCCCGCTCACCGCGTGTGGACGAGGACCGAGTCCTGGTAGAGTCGGTCATACATGCAAATCTTCAGGTCCACGCTGGCCTTTGGCACCCAGACCGGCACGTCGACAGCAACGCCAACGACATTGAAATATAACTGAATTTGAACATGTAAATCCAACAACACGTGGCCATCAGTGAGTGTTAACACAGAACCCAGCAGTGGAGTTTTCATCAATCTTACAAGTCCTGGAAGGTTAACAATTAGACTAGCTACACTTTGAAGATCTGTGGCACTTTTCATACCATAAAATTTAAACAACCCTTTTTATGATCAAAATGTTTAAACCTAAAAAGGTAGGATGGATGGTCACGTACCAACATGCAGCTGCATAAACAGCACACTTGAGCCGTTTAGAAAAACCCTTTTACTACAGTCACGCCTCACACAGAAAGTGCGCATGCGACGAAACACTCCCGGCTGATACAAACGGCAGCTCAGGGCTCCGACGGGCCGGGGCCCTGGCGCAGGCTTCCTGCAGCCAAACCCCGAGTCCTGGGCGTCCTGCAGGGAGAGCTCGTGCACGGCAGCCCCTCTCGGGCTGGGACAGTGGCCAGGAGCCCACACAACTGGGTGGGGACCTCCCGTCCCCCAAGCTGCAGACTGTGACATTTGGGACACACCAGCCACCAGAGCCGTGGCCACACACAGCCCATTTCCGGGGCCAGAGACGGGGCTGGACAGGATGACAGGAAAGCACGCTGGAGAAGTGGGGCTGCTGGGAGTCAGGAGAGGGTGTGGGGAGACACACAGCCACCTCACCCAGAGGCAGGATGCGCTGGGGATGGCCGACACCGGCTGGGGCTGCTGCTGGGCGAGGCCTCGAGGCCCGGAGCCCCATCCCGGCTGCACGGCCTGGTGGGTCTAGAAAGGGGGTGGCCCTGCCAGCACCCAAATCAGCAGCCAGGCGAGCAGGTGGATGAGGTGACACGTGCTGCTGTGTCCCAGGCTCGGAGGACAGACGGGGGCAGTTCCCGGGGGTCCAGGATGCAGGTGGGGTGACTGGCAAGGGAAGCCCCACCCACACAGGAGTCCAGCCAGGTTGCCCATTCTGGTCATTGTGCCCTCCTGTTACTACGGGGCACTGTGGGCAGTGTGGGGTCCCGTGGGGGGGTGTGGGGTCTTGTGGGGTCCTGTGGGGCTCTGTAGGGTCCTGTGGGATGCTGCGGGGTGCTGCGGGACACCATGGGTACTGTGGGCACTTTGGAACAGAGTGGATATTACGGTATATTGTGGGGCATTGCAGGATTTTACCTAGCCCCTGGGGTTTCTGCTGTAAATAAATGAATATTCCTGTCTCAAATCCCTGGCCCCTGACAGACTCATTCCTCTGTGGGCAACACCAGAGCAGAGGCTGCCAATGGGGAAAGGAGGAGAGTGCGGTGAACACAAACACACCAAATGGTCACAGCTGGACAGAGCCTTCTGGCTGCCTGGACGCGTGGACCATGGGTGTCAGGCAGGAGCTCCAGAAGTGGGGGCGATGGGGGGGAGTCCTGATGACAGTTGAGCCATACTTAGATACTGCGGGCCAAGAAAGACGGAAATAAAGGGTGTTTTATGCTGGTCACAAGGGAGAGTGGGGGTGTCCTGCTGCAGCACGTCCATCTTGGAGGACTTTCCTCTTCCACAGGAGATACAAAGTCCCACGTGAGGGCTGAGAAAGTGGATTTTCCAAGTAAAAGAGGAAAAAAGGAATAAACAGCAATGCCACCAGGACAATGAAACAAGAAAATTGAAAAAGAGGGAACAATATCCTAACACAAACAGGAGACACGAGCTACCGGGAGCAGTGAGACAAGGCGCGTCCCCGCCGCGCCGGCACTCCCGCTGAAGGCAGACCGCGTTCGTCTGGGCTGACAGACGAGACCCGGCTGGCTGCTCAGAACACACACAGAGCCACAGAGGAGGAGGACTGTGAGGGGACGGAGCGGGGTGAGGCAGGGGTGACGCAGAGGGGAGCGGGCGGGGCTGTGCCGTTGCCGTCGGGTCAGCTGTGTCTGGGATGCTGTGAGCAGCAGCACAGAGGGGCGGCGTTTGGTTCTGGGGACAGCGCAGCTCACGATGAGAAAACAGCTACAAACCCTCACGCACCAAACAACAGAGCAGCTGTGCGGAGCCCATCCGTGAGCTGTGTACGGAGAACCTGTCACAGAGGGGCCACAGGGAAGGTGGACACGCAGAAGGGACGCAGAGCCGGTCAGCCGCGAGAGAGGAGAACAGGGCCGGGGGCGTCAGGCTCCCTGGCCTCAGGCTGTGCTGGGAAGCTGCAGGCATCAGAACCGTGCGGCACCAGCACAAGACAGACCCACAGATCCACGGAACAGGGCAGAAGGCCCAGAAAGAAACCTGCGCACTGCATCCACAGCAGAGGAGGCAAGAACACACACCGGAGAGAAGACAGTCTCTTCAGCAAGTGGTGCTGGGAAACCTGGACAGCCGCCTGTAAGGGGATGAAACCAGAATGCTCTCTGACAGCATGTACAGGGGTAAACTCAAAGTGGATCAAAGACCTAAGTGCAAGGCCAGATACTATAAAACCCTTCGAGGAAAACAGGCACAGCACTCAGACATGAATTTCAGCAATCCATTTTTGATCTGTATCCCAAGGCAAAGGAAACAAAAGCAAAAGTAAACAAATGAGATCTAATTAAACTTGAAAGCTTCTGTGCGGTAAAGGAAACCACTGACAAAACTGAAAAGACAACCTACTGAATGGGAGAAAGTACTTGCAAATGACACGACCAATAAGGGGTTAATATCCAAAACACATAAATGACTCATACAACTCAGTATTAAAAAAACAACCTCACTAAAAAATGGGCAGAAGACCTGAACATTTTTCAAAGAGGACATCTGACGGCCAACAGGCACGTGAACAGATGCTCAGTGTCCCGTCTTCAGGAAACACAGATCAAAACCACACGAGAGACCACCTCACACCTGTCAGAATGGATGTCATCAAAAGACCACAAATGACAAATGCTGGTGAGAATGTGGAGCAAAGGGAACCCTCCTACACTGTTGATGGGAATGTAAACTGGCACAACTACTCTGGAAAACAGTACCGAGGTTTCTCAAAAAACTGAAGCTAGAACTACCGTGTGATCCGGCAGTTCCACTCCTGGGTATATATCCAAAGAAAACAAAACTGCTAATTTGAAAAGACACCTGCACCCCAATGTTCACAGCAGCACTATTTACAGTAGCCAAGATATGGAAACAGCCTAAATGTCCATCGACAGATGACTGGATAAAGAAGCTGTGGTAGATATCTACAATGGAATACTACTCAGCCATAAAAAAGAATGAAATTCTGCCATTTGCAACAACATGGATGGACCTGGAGGGCATTATGCTAAGCAAAATAAGTCAGGCAGAGAAAGACAGATACTGTATGTTATCACTTATATGTGAAATCTAGAAAACAAAATAAATGAATGAATCTAACAATACAGAAACAGACTAGCAGTTACCCGTGAGGAGAGGGGTGGAGGGAGGGACACAACACTATGTAAAAAGCAGATAAGCTACAAGGGTGTACTGCACAACACAGGGAAATACAGCGAATATTTCATAGTAACTTTAAATGGAATACAATCCATAAAGGTTTCAAATCACTGTCCTGTACACCTGGAACTAAAAAACAAACAAACCGAAAGCCCCTCAGCATCCCAGTAAGAAAGAAAACACAATGGAACTTTGGCAAATGAGAAAACCAGGGAGGGGCGCACGATGGGGACAGCCCGTCTGAGACACGTGCTCGCCCTTAGATGTACTTCCTTCGTCTGCACACGTCACACTGAGAAGAGCAATCTTGCCTTTGGTCACAAAGAAAACTCTAACAAGTTTAAAAAAGTTTGCAGATCAAATTCTAGGCACATCATTTAATTTAATAAACTTACAAATAAATGCTAAAAAGTAATAATGAAAAATTTTAACTACTAGGAAATTAAAAAAGACACTTCTGATTAAGTGCAAGGTGTGTGTGCAGGTGTGTTCACAGGTGTGCACCTGCTGGCTATGGTGCCAATGATGCGTGCCACCACCAGCCTGGCGAGCGTGGGAGGTGCAGGCGGCTGCTGCATGTGGTACCGGTGGGAGGGGAGGCAGAGGGCCGGGACGTGGCGCCCGGGGGGCTGCAGGATACTCACTGTTGGGCACTGCTGGTTCCTAAATGTGACCTTGAACCTGGTGTGGATCATTCCTGGGACCATCGGGGTGAAGGTGATGGGCACCTTGATGGAGCTGAAGGGGCCGATCTCCCCCTCTGTTATCTGCGCAGGGAGAGAGGCACAGGGCCAGGTGGCCGTCTCGTTTCTGACAAGGTGCCTCCCACTGGCCTCACCACGGCTGGGTCACTGAGAGGGCCAGTGGTGGCAGGACCCGTGTCCCAGCCAAGGGGCAGGGGCGAAGGGCAGTCTGGACCCCCGTGTGCGCACTTGCTCTCCTTGGAGACCCTGGCCCTAGCACGCGTGCACACACGCACACCCCACACTCCGGCTAGGGAGGCCCTGCGTTGGTCTCTCCTCCGAGCTGGACCCAGGGCATCAGGATGCTGCTGCTGCTGCTCTGGTCCCATTCGGCCCCAGCCCAGGACGGGGTGGCTGACACCGCCTGAGACGACCAGCGGCCAGGTCAGTGCAGTCTGCCTCTGGTCATGTGGACGGGCCGCCCCAGGTGCTGGGAGGAGGTGGGTTGTGGGTGGGCAGGCCTTGCTCACCTCTCCCAGTGAGAACTCCGTGTGCTCCTCGTTGGGAGGCAGGGTCATGGCAGTGGTCATGGCCACCCCCTCTGATTCTGGAAGAGAAGGGGGCCAGGTGTGAGGGCTGGCCAGGCAGGGTAGGGCAGCTCCCGGAGCTGTGGGGCCCCCACAGCCCTCTTGCGCGGACAGCTTATTTGGACAATGACATCTGCCCTGCCCCCCCGGGGTCAGTGAAGACCCTCACGGGAGGGTACCTGGGCTCCGCATAGAGTAGCTGCCCAGAGGCCCAGGAGGGATGGAACAGAGTAGGGGTCTGGCTCCAGGCTGGGGTGGTGGCCGAGGAAAGCATCCGAATTCCCTTGTGTCTGGACAGGGCTCCCAGGGCGGTGGCAGTGGCGGTGTCGACCCATGCAAACAGCCAGGCTTGTGGGCACAGGTGGCTGTTACTGTGGCCCCAGCTCGCGTGCACGCACCCTCACCCCACTGCCATCCCTGGTGGGAACTTGAGAACTCGGTGACCCCCAGCTCAAGGCCAGGGGCAGTCCCAGGCCTGGGGCTCCGCAGGTGGACCGGACCGTGGGCGCTGCGGCCTCTGGAGCGGGGGTCCAGGGCGGGCGAGGGGAGCTGAGCCCGGGAGACTGGGGCAGGGGATGCAGACGCCCTAGTGCGGTGCGTCCGGGAGAGACTGGCGGAGAAGTGGGCAGACTAGACCCTTTAGGGGTTTGTCTCAAAGCAGGAGGAGAGGGAAGGTGGGCTCAGAGGTTCTGTGCTGGGATGAAGGAACTGCAGAGGGCTGTCTCTGCGGACGGCCAGGTGAGGCCCTGGAGTGTGGCCTGGCTGGCGGGGTGGGCAGCTACTTTCTGGCGACACACCCAAGCCGGAGCTAAGTCGCTAAGTTCTGAGAATTTAAAACAGTATCATGTTGCAAAGACTATTTTGTTTTTGTAATGGAATGTCACAGCCTGGTCTGTCATAGTCACTTTGTTTCCTCTGTGGGTGGGTTGCTGGCACTGGTGGGCTGAGGATTCTGACCCATCCCTGGGGCTTGGGGGGCACCCAAGAGCTGCAAGGCCATTCATGGGGAAGGGCCCCCGGGGGCAGACGCACTTCCTCTCACCCTAGGTCTTTCTGCCGCCCAGGCTCTGCACGGCCGAATTACTCCCCCCAGGGTAGTACGTGCCATTGCCGGGGTCCTGGGCTGTGACAGCAGGGCCCCCAGTTCTGGACTCCTCCAACTGGGCAGACTTGTCACCCTGCCCAGCAGCCCGGACTGTCACCAAGGTGGGAAGGGGCTCCTGCCAACCTGATGTCTACACCCTTGTTTGCTTCAGGAGTTACCAAAATGACAGCCTGGCCCGGGCCCGGGGGTCCTTCTCCATGCCTCCAGCCCAAGCCAGACCCTGGGGCCGGCTGCTTCATCCTGCGTGGATGGTGGCTGGGGTCACTTGGTGTCTCAGGGTGGAATCGTGTTGGTCCGTCTGCTGGGAGGGCAGTGGACTCCCTCCCACTGAGTCTACAGATCCAGCTCGCTGCTGACAGGGAGGCACCCTTCGCTGCCATGGGCTGCGTTATCTGCCCCGCGCGTCTGTCCCGCTCCATCAGTCACGAAGGGGTATCTACTCACGTTCTGGATGTGAGTTTAAAGGTGCTTCAACATTTTAGAACGTTCTCAGCAAGTAACTCTTTAAATGCTGCCTTTTCCTGACTCCGTAGATAACGACCTCCTCGCTCGGTCCTCACTCCGCCGGATTCACTCCCGTGTCCGCCTCTGGCTACCTTCTGGTTCACTGACGCTCTCCTCAGCAGGGTCTGATCTACAGCTTAAGCCCCGGGGTGGGGGGGGGTGGTTATCGATGATCATATTCCTGCGGCTGGAAGTCGCGCTGGCTCCTTTCAAGCCTGCCTGGCCTCATTCCTCTGTGCTGTTCCTCAGTGTGTTAAGCACACTTATGTTTGATGTCTGATAACATCAGAGCTGGAACATGCGAGACTGTAATGGTCTTGGGTGTGTGCTGAGTGACTTCTTTCCTGGTCTTTTTTTTTTAGTGTAACCTTTTCCGAGTTTTGACAAACGCATACAGTTGTGTGCCCTACAGGCAGCCCCCCGCCCGACCCCATCTCCCTTTGTCTCTTAATCGATCCCTCCCCCTGCCCTGGCAACACTCATCTGCTTTCTGTCCCTATAGTTTCACCTTTTCCGGAATGTCATATGAATGGAAACACATGGCTTGCAGTTTTCTGAGTCTGGCTTTTCGCGCTCAGCACGAAGCCCTGAGACTCGTCTGTGCTGTCGTGCGTGGCACGCGGTCACTCATTTTCATCGCTGAGTAGTTTTCCATAGCCGCTCACCCGTCAACGGGCATTTGGGCAGCCAGTTTTTGACAATTACAAGTAAACCCTCTGTGAACATTCACAGACAGGTTTCCGTTTGAATTTAGTTTCCGTTTCTTGGTAAATACCTAGGTGTGGGGTTGCTGGCTTATATGACGTTTGTCTGACTTTTTAAGGAAGTGCTGAAGTGTTTTCGAAAGCGGCTGCAGCCACGTATTCACAGCAGCACTGGGTGACGGTGGCTCCACAAGCGCTGAGCACTCAGGTCTCCGCGGTCACCTAGTCCTAGTGGGCGTGTTGCGGCGTCACCGTCCCAGCAAGGCTCTACTTTGCGTTTCCCTCCCGTCTGCTGATGCCGAGCGCCGTTCACGTGCTTCTTTGGTCAAGCGTCCAAGGTTTTTGCCCATTTTCTCCTTTTGTCCATTTTCAAACCGGGTTATTTGTTTTCTAGTGGGGTTTTGAAAGTTCTTTGTGTTCTTTGGACGTGTTCTTTACCAGCCATGTGATCCGCTAATGCCTTCTGCCAGTCGGTGGCTTGTCTTTCATTCTCAACGTCATGTTTAGAAGAGCAGACACTGATGATGCCTAACGGTTTATAATTAAAAAATCCTGCTTTTGATGTCATATCTAAGAAATCTCTGCCCAGGCCAAGCTACATTGACTTTTCTCCTGGAAGAGAAGGGGGCCAGGTGTGAGGGCTGGCCAGGCAGGGCAGGGCAGCTCCCCCGAGCGGTCCTCCCGGTGCCGTGGGGCCCCTGCAGCCCTCCTGCGTGGACAGCCCATTCGGACAATGACATCTGCCCCGCCCCCCCGTCAGTGAAGACCCTCCCTGTACAAGTTCTATAGTTTTCGGTTTCACGTTTAGGTGTATGGTTTATTTTGAGGAGCTTTGTTTCCAGTGTGAGGAATGGCCGGAGGTTTATTTTGGTGGCATATGTTTATTTAATTCTTACGGACTCATTTGATGACAAAACTGTTCCTCCTCCAAGGAACTAAGTACTCTTGAGTCTCTGTTGAGGATCAACTGGACAAGTTTGTGTGGGTCTATTTTTGGACCCTCTAGTCTGTTTAGTTGAATGTATATCTCTCCCTCTGCCAACAGCATACTGTCTTGAAATCAGGTAGTCTGAGTCTTCCAGCTCTGTCCCTTTTCAAAATTGTTTTAGTTATTTTAGGTCTTTCAGATTTCCATAAACATTTTAGAATCAGCCTGTCAGTTCCCATAGAAAGCCCTGCTGGAATCTTGATTAGAACCGCGCCCACCCGCAGCCACTTCCGGGAGAACTGACTCCTGGCAGCGTCGAGCCTTCCCGCCCACAGGCTGCAGGGCTCCCCATTTACGGAGGGCTCTCATTTCTTTCATCAGAGTTTTGCAGCTTTCAGCATACAGACCCTGAACACTTTTTCTTAGCTTTGCAACTTGGTAGTTCCTGTTTTTTGGTGCAATTATAAATGGTACTTATAAAAATTTAATTTCCAATGGTTAATTTCTGCTACCTAGAAATACGCTTGAGTTTTGCATATCGTATCCTGTGACCAGCTAAACTTCTTGCTAGTTCTGTAACTTCTGGGAGATTCTCTGGGATTTTCTATATAGACAGTCATGCTCCTTGTGAATAAAGCTAATTTTATTATTTTATTTTCAAACTTTATGTCTTTTACCTCCTCTCTTGCCTTATTGGACTGAACAGCAGTACGTGAATGGACATCTCTGCTGTATTCCCAGCCCTTGAGAGAAGCGTCCAATCTTTCCTCATTAAATATGGCCTTAACTGTAAGTTTATCTTTTTCGGTGGCAGCCATGGACTGCAGGCAGCTGGTGGTCACTTGACATGTGGCTCCCATGAAGGAGGAAAGGAATTCTTACTATTTAATTCTGGTTAATTTCAATTTAAACAGCCCGGTGTGGCCAGTGGCAGCCGTGCTGGGGAGCAGTGTCAGCGGCTGCTGGTGGGAGTGTGGGCCACACAGCTGCTGAGAGAGCTGACCTCAGCAATGTAAGTGGAGCCCTGCGTCCCCTATGACGCAGTGTGGCAAGGGCGCTGGGGAAAGGGGGTGGAGGGCGCCCCAAACTCGCCCACGAAAAGACGTGGCCCTGAGCCCACAGCACGCACCTTGAAATCCCCCTGATGTGAGCAGGCGGGGATGGTCTGTGATGCGAGGGGTGTTCACAACTGCTGTCCCCACGTGGTGGTGGAAAGGAGGAGCAGCTTGCCCAGCCACGTGGATGAACCGCAAAGTGTGACCCGACCAAAGAGCAACTCACAGAGCGCACTGGCCGCGGTCCATTCACGGAAAGGCCGAAACAGGAGAAATTCCCGCATTTCTGGATGTGCACGTGGGAGGAACAGGTAAAGAGGGCAAGGAAACGACAAAGACACTTCCAGCTGGAAGTCTGCGGCACGGAAGGGGACGCGTCCCGGCGGGGCAGCCACAGGAACCCTCTTCCTGTCCTCACATGTTACATGGGCTTCTGCACAGACAGAGCTCATGGTGGCGCCCAGACAGCCTGGTGACTTGGTGGCCCGGCAGCAGAGACGCCCCCCCCCCCCCGCCCTGCCCTTGCTCCAGTCGGCCGCTTCACAGCCCTCACCCTCCCGACCCCCGGCTCCTCAAATTCCTCAACGAACCACCAGGGGCAGCAAGGAGGGCACTGGGAGGTCCAAAGCCAGAAGTTTCCTTCACGTCTTCCTTTAGCTTAAATATTAATGCACATTTCAACCCTCTCTGTGACCGGCACATGTTTACATATGAATATTTTCTCATTTATTTAAAATTGGAGCCTTGGAAAAATCCTGCCCCGTTCAGACCTCTGGCACCTCACTTGGTCTCCGGAGGCCAGTGCTCAGTGCTCGGAGTGGCTCCCAGACCTGCCCCTCTGCTCCTCCAATGGGCTCAGGGTGGGGGCTCGGCCGCGGAGCCCCAGTGCAGTGGTCTGAGCGCCTGCGCAGGGCGCAGCTCACCTGCAGGGCGCCCCTCCTCTGGCTCCATGTTGTCCAGCTTTCCAGACTCCTTCTGGCTCGTCACGTCTGTGGGGGACGACTCATTGCCCTCCATCTGCTGCTCAGAAAAACTGCTGATGATTTTGTCATAAAAAGTTTTGTCATCGTACGTGAAGAGGCTACTCTGAAAAAGAGAACACGGCTTCTTTCCTGGCAACTTCCACTTGTCCTTCCCCTCTGCTGTCCCAACCCCAGGCCCCTGGAGTGCCTCACTGGGAGCCCAGCCGTGACCTGGGCTGGGACTGTGGGCTCCTGCACAGCTCCCCCTGACAGCCCCCCACCCCGTCGACCCATGAGGGCCTCCAGGCTGCAGCAGCAGCCAACCGCGCGCTCAGGGCCGGCTCTCACCCAGCTTGCTCCTCCTGGGTCCCGTCTGAAGCCCCCTGGGCACTGCTGGGCTCTCAGCTGAGTCTACAGTCTCCCTCCCAGGCTGGTTGGCTCCCCCAGGATGCCTACTCCTCTCCTGGGTGAGGTGGGGTCCCTCCCAGGTCCCAGCTCCAAGCTCTCCTGGCTTCAGCTCCCACCTCATGCTTGCTCCTTTCCCAGAGACCACGGACCCCCAGCCCTCTCCCTGTGCTCACAGCAGACCACGTGCCCCAAACGTGTGACTCCGGGGCCATGGGGGCAAACAGGTTACTGCCTGGGCGGAGCTGCCGTCCAGACGGACAGACACCCACCAGGAGGCGGGAGGGTGCCTGTGGAGAGCCCTCAGGGCCTGTGCACTTGTCCTGCCCCCAGAAGCCCCGTCTCCGCACTCCCTCTCCTAGCATCCCACCGGCTCTGCTCCAGGCTCACAACCCTGGCCCCTCCCACCTCTGCCACAGCTGCTGGGCTCCACTGCTGCCCAACCCCATCCCTCCCCGGGGGGGCCCTTCCAAGGCCTTTGCTGAGACCCCTGAATGAGGCAGAAAGAACAGACTCGGTACTGCTTCTAGGAAAGTTTCAACTAACTCAAGACGTGTACTTCAAAAAGGCAACGCTAATCTCACCCATCCTCACGCCAGTAACCCCCCGAGTGCACTGGTGTGTTGGAAGCTGTCTCCCTGGATGGGGCCCACCTGTGTGCTGTGAGGCTGCTTCCGCCCACTCAGCAGCACACGTGCGCAGCCTTCTGGGGAAAGGACCAAGGCCCGCCTGGCACCTTTGGGACAGTGCAGACGCGGCTGGGGTCTGCAGTCTTCCGCTGGGGCCTCAGGGCTGGACCGCCGCCCCCGAGCTGGGACTTCAGGGCCTGAAGCACGTGGTCACCGCCTTCCAACACATGTGTGGGGGCGCTGTCCTGCGGCCCCCAGATGTCCTCCTTATGGAGACGCGTCTTTTCTACCGAGACTGGTGGGAGGGCGTCTCGCTGCCCCCCCTCCGCCCGCCCACATGGACAGGCTCCTTCAAGCTGTGCCCGCTTTACACTCACGGGACTGTCTTGGACAGGAGGCACCACGCGCAGCCGGCACACTCACTATTTTCATGGCCGACTGGGAGCCGTCCACCTCACAGGACTTGGATGCGAGAAGAAACTTGAACCTGGTGCCCAGGCCCCCGGCGTTGGTCAGCGTGATGGTCCGGGATGCAGTCTCACCCACTCCGTGGCTACCGAAGTCGATGACCTCCTTGTCGAGGGACAGCTGCCAAAGGACCCAAGTGAGCGGTGGCCGCTCCAGCCTGTAGCACGGCCTCCTCTCCCCACTCACTCTGTAGCCCAAAGGGGATCAGGGTGCTGGCCCCTTCCTCAGGCTCCGAGTGAGGCCTGCCTGGGGGATCTGGGGTGGGGGGCAGGGACTAGAAATCATGGGTGTGTGCCCGAGGCCAATTCCCAAAAAGTCAAGCCAGCTAAAAAGAAGCGAGCTATCGAGCCGTAGAGAGGCCTGTGACTGAGTGAGAGACGCCGGGCTGAAAAGACTGCAGACTGTGTGACGCCAGCTCTGAGATGTTCTGGAAAAGGCGAAGGTTAGGAGACAACACAAAGACAAGAGGTCATGTGCTAATAAAGACTCTGTGTGGCAAGAAGACGTAACAGTTACAAACAGTTAGCACCTAGTGGCAGTCTGTCAAGTACATGAGGCAGAGCTCGACAGAACTGAAGGGGGAAACATACGGTCACACAACACTCCTCTCATGAAAACGCGCAGAACAGCAGACGGACGAGAAGCAAGGAGGCAGGGCTTGTGGACACGACAACTGACGGCTCCAGCGGACAAACACAGGACACTCGCCCCAGCGTCAGCCACACGTGCGCCTCGGGGCACACAGACGCTTTCCAGGACAGACCACACGTCAGGCCACAAATTAAGTCTCACCAGACTGAACAGGGCAACATCAGACAGAACGTCTTCTCTGACCACAACAGTATGAGGATAGAAATCACAGCACAGAGAAGCCTGGAAGATTCACAGAGGTGTGGAGATCGGACCACATGATTTTAAACAACAAATGGATCAAAGAAGTCACATGAGAAACGATAAAATAATTGGAGGTGAATGAAAACAAAAACACAACATAGCAGAACGTATGGGGTGCAGTGGGAAAGGGGCTAAAGGGAGCACTTGCAGCTATAAACACTTTTATTAAAAAAGAACCCTGCTGTATAGCACAGGGAACTATATTTAAAAATAAAAAAATAAAAAATAAAAAACAAGACTGATCTCAAATCAGTAACTTACGTTTGCAACTTAAGAGGCTAGAAGAACAAACTAAACCACAACCAGCAGACAGAAGAGACTCATACAGATCAGAGCAGAGGTAAACAAAACAGAACAAAAAAATGGGAGAAAATTAATGAGAGCAAAAGTTGGTTCTTCAAAAAGATCAACAAAGTTGACAAAACTTTAGCTGCATGGACTAGGAAAAAAAAGATACAAACTCAAATTAACTAAAATCAGAAATGAGCGTGGGGACATTAATGCTGATTCCACAGAAATAAAAGGATGGTGGAGACAACTGTGAACAGCTGTGCACCCACTCCCCGGAGAACCTCGATGAAGCGCACAAATTCCCAGAAACACGAAACCTGCTGCGACTAAGCAGCAAAGAGCAGCGGCCTGCATAGGCCTGTAACCAGCAAGGAGGGCGAACCGACAGTGCAGCGCCTGCCGAGGAGCCAGAGCCCTGGGCCTGACGGCGTCACTGGCGGGTTCCACCAAACATTTAACGAGTATCAGCCCTTCTCAAAGTTTCCATACCACGCATCTGACAGGAAATTAACATCCAGAGCATACCTAGAACTCCTGAAGCCCAGGAGCAAAACGACAGCCACCAAATTCAAACGAGCAAAGGGCTTGAATCGACGTTTCTCCGAAGAAGCCCAACCCGACGGCCAACAGACACGTGAGCAGACGCTCAGCGGCGCTGATCACCAGAGAAACGCAAGTCAGAACTGCAACGAGGTACCGCCGCACGCCCACCAGGACGCTACTGTCAAACCCGGAAATCAGCACACGCTGTCGGGGACGTGGCAGAACCGGGGCCCCTGCGCACCGCTGGTGGGCACGTGAAACGGCGCAGCCGCTGCGGAGAACGGTCCGGAGGTGCCTCAGAAAACCCAAAGTGGAGCCGCGCAGTAGCTGCCCTTCCCCCACCGCCGCGCGTCCTCCTCTCCCCCATGACTGGCCGCAAAGGACCAGCACAGTTCTTTTCTCCCCTACTTCGTTTTCCTCTTTTTCCTCATTTGGGAGCCAAGCATTAGAGACTAGGACGTTCAAAACAACTGCAGGTACAGAGGAAACCAGAAAGTGACCACACGCACCCAGGGAAACCTCAGAAGACCTTCAGTTTACACCTTGGGCTGATCCTCAGCACAAAGAGCAAAACAAAACAAACAAAAATGGTAACAGTGAGGCGGGAAGCCCCATAGAAAGACCGGCAGGACCCACAGGCAGGGCGTCTGCTCTCCTCCCAGCACAGTCTGGTTCCCTGACCCAGAGCCTCTATCTCACTGTTAGTCTCTAAAGCGGCTAACTTACACCTAAAATTCTATTGGTTCTCTGAGCTCATTTCTGATTGGTTATTTCCTTCACTCCTGATTGGTTATTACTCTCACTTCTGATTGGTTCACTTCCCTAACTTCTGATTGTTCCATTTGTAGTACTTTATTTGCATGGAGCTCATTCCTGATTGGGTCTCTCTCTCTCTC